GGGGTTTCACTTCGCTGTTGCAAACGGAGGCGCTCGAGTTCCATTTCGTGCTGCCGCTGCCGTTCCCTTTCAGCCATCTCCGCTTCTCTTTCTTTTTTCGCCCTCTCAGCTGCCTGTCTTTCTCTCTCCATCTCCAACTTCAATTGTTGCTCTCTTGCTTCCTTCAGCTGTCGCTCCTTTGCCTCTCTTTCTTCTCTCGCCCTCTCGGCTGCCAACTTTTCTCTCTCCAGCTCCAACTTCAATTGCTGCTCTCTTTCTTCTTTCACCCTTTCAGCTGTCAGCCTTTCTCTCTCCATCTCCAACTTCAATTGTTGCTCTCTTTCTTCCTTCAGCTGTCGCTCCTTTGCCTCTCTTTTTTCTCTCGCTCTTTCGGCTGTCAACTTTTCTCTCTCCAACTCAGCTGCCTTTTCTTCCTTGGCCCTCTCAGCTGCCAACCTCTCTCGTTCCAACTCAGCTGCTTTTTCTTCCTTGGCTCTCTCAGCTGCCAACCTCTCTCTCTCCACCGCCTCTTTCTCCTTCTGGCTTACCCATTTCCGTAGTTCGGCGCCAGAAAGACCCATCTTCTCACCAAGAGCAACTAACTTTTCGAGATTCATGGTGTCTCGCAAATAAAGTCTTGCCGCGTGTAAAAGGTATCTGCCTAAATCAGTCTATCGGAACACTCCCCTGCGCTCGTTAACGAGAACACTGAACAACACACAAAATCGTTCCGATAGCACTATCAACCTCGAAGCTCTTTCCTACTACTTTGGACACACTGTCCACCAAAAAGTCCTCTCGCGGATGCCAGATTAATTGTCACACAGGTCCCGTTAATTAGGGAGGCGATCGCCGGGCTAATTCCAAGGGCCGAAGTATCGGCCCCCCGAACCGCACCACGAAAGCGTGGACAATTTAGAAGTGGTCCTTTTTGGCGCGCCAGCGGACGCCGGCTGTGGCCCAAAGAACAAGTCAGAGCTGAGAGTTGATAAACCAACAAAATTATATTTTCAATAATGGAAGATCAGAAAAACAATACACAAATATGCTCACTCCACAATAGCTGAGTACAATATGTCCCCGATCAAACAACGTACTACACAGTACAATTAGCCACACTTGAACAACGGACACAGACAACAGTACACACTACAATGCAGTCGCATGCATTGAACATCCAAGACACTTAAAGACTAAAGAGATAGAAAACCTACTCAGTCCAAAGTCCTTGGAACAAAAGACTGAATGATACTCTTCCGAGAATCACTCACTCAAAGTCCAGCGTTGTTGCCGTTCCGCTGCCCCGAAGTTTCTCTTCCAGGGAACCTCGCGTCTTCAATTGGCCACTCTCCAAGCTTCAAACTTCTTCGCCGGAAACACGTCGGCTTCACACACGCAGCTGTTGCCACGCGTCTTCGCTCGATAGCGGTAAACTCACGCTCTTGCCTGTAGCTCGAGCCTTCACCCCTCAGGTGGAAATCCTCTTCTTCTCCTGCTTTGTCGCTACGGACAAAACCTTCGCCGACTACACGGCGGAATCCCTACGCGCTCTGGCACTAACTTCCGTCTTCTCCGGCTCTCTCGTCTCGGCTGCTCGATTAAATACCTTCCGCGCGAGATTCCAGAAGGTTCTCGTCATTTCGTCGGCGCGATACGCAGCGAAGGCTGGGGAGAGGCGCGAGACTGTACGGGGGCCGTCCCCGACAGATGACTCAACCCGGCATACACGCCCCTTTCCTTCTGGAAATTTCTAGGTCTTGCTCGGCCGCCGATGTGGGGTGAGGAGGTTCGTCGGCGAAGCCACGCTTCCGAGGGGAGAGCGTCGCACGCCCGGGGAGCCTTTAGATGTTTGTTTTCTTTTTTTTTCGTTGACCTCGCGGCGTCACTCCGGTGCGTTATCGCAAGAATTTGGCGGCGCGCCCATTTTGAGCGCTCGTTCTGTGACAACCCTGATGTCCCCTCTCAAAGCTGTAACTGAATATTTATTCAATAGGGCGATGTGAAGCTTGCAGGCATGCCAGCAATAGAAGGGTTCCCTGAAAAAAAATGTTGATATCAAGTTATGCACGACTAAAGTTGCGCATTCATTTACGCCAGCTCGAAACAGAGAGAACCAGTTGAAATGGAAGCAAGAGACGCACTGCGGCTAACTTTCAGTGATCAGTTATAATGCTTCCTTTTGAAGTATAATAATGTTGTCGTCCAAATGAAGCTGTGGCATCTGATATTGCTGTTTAATAAATGCAATTTACTTGCTCAATGTTGTAAAGCCGTGTGGTCGCTTCATTTGGCGATATCTATGAACGCTTTAAAAATTGATAGTTTAGCATATATTCCTATAAAAAACATGCTAAACCTGGTTTGACAGTCAATTTGTGCGTGCGAGCCATGATCTAATGCCATAAAAGCCACATGTAGACCATCAAATAGTATGGTATGTCTTCAACATTTTTTTGCCAATGTTCTGTTCGCAGTAAGGTATAAAAGATGAAAACAACGTACAATATACTGTGCGTTGCAGGGTGTGGTCTGTAAATGAGGTAGCTATTGAATAATTCCAAAAACGATATATGAAAATATTGTATGCAATCACAGTTTTAGGGGCGAAACTTCTAAAGCCGTGGGTTTATCCATGCATGTCTGTGACCAGTTCGTAACCACCTAGTTGTATGACTCACTCAGCAAGTGGTGCTAGTGTGAGTGACAGAGAGACAAGTGGACAGACGGACAAGTGGACAGACAGACAGATCCACGGACGAACGGAAGCAAGAACAGACAGACGCACGTACGCTAAGACCGACTCATCACGAATGATGAGTGGAACGAAGTGTTCGTCCGTCCGTGCTATGCTGTGCTCCGTGGATATGCTTGACGGACGGATGCATGGACAGAATCACGGACAGAAGCATGGATAAACGCTTCGCCCCACACATGATCATTCACTCCTTGGATATGCTGTGATTGTTTCTTTTCTCTCGACAGCACGTATTTTTTATTCTTTTTTTTCCAGCCAGCTGGCAAATGGCAAACTGTTTTTACACTTTTGGGGAATTCACACAGCACACAGACACATTGAAAGGTCATGTGACTTAAGTGGGGGTGTTTCACATCTTTAACCTATATAAATAGTTAGCGACTAGTCCAAAAAGACGCTAATTGAAGGTGTTTACGCGGCTTGTGTCGGTGGTATTTTGCTGCTGCGAGCAACTCCAGCTGCTAATGTCACTTTTAAAATGAATAGTAGAGACCAGATATCTAAGACCTTCACACTCCCAATGAAAAAAAAAACTTTGTATTTTTCTCATGTGTTTGAGTACCTCATGTTTTGACGCAACAAACTCTTTATGCAGCCGCGCAACACTCGTTGGCAAACCGTCGGGCTTGCGGAGAGGGCATTGTAATGGCGGACCCCGTAGCGGACAACGCGGTTGTCTCCACCCTCCAATACGAGGATACGGGTTCAAGCATCGAGTAACCCTAATTGTGTAGAGTTACTGCACATCCATGCTGTACATGCTACCTTTTACTCTAATCAAAAGTAGAGTTACTGTATATGCTACCGTTAGGTAAAAGGTAGCATATACAGTAACTCTAATCAAAAGGGTTTCAAAGCGCCGCCCCATGTACATTGGCACAACTTATTGGAAAAATGCTTCGGCCAAGAGGGTTTCTCTTAGGGAGCCTTCATGTGAACACGGAGACGCGCGCACATGAAGGCTCCCTAGTTTCTCTTACAGCGTCTAGGTCACACTATCTGTGATCACCCGATTCAATTCAAAGAGAACAGCCACCTATCATCTTCATTATCTTCGCCATGACCGCAAAGCACACGTGAAGGCTAGGCGATGGGTAAGAGCAGGAAAGAGCTAGAGGAGAGGGTGGTGGACAGCTGAATCGGGCGCATCTGGCATTGATAAAATAAAGGAGGCGTTGTCATGAGTCAGTGGCAGTGTAGTGGCCAAGGAGGATTAAAGAAAAATTGCTGGAGTGGAAGCTCCAGCAATGCCTCGCCAGCAGAAGTGAAGCCATCTTTTCCCACTGCCAAGATGGCGGAAACATGCTCTTTTCTGATGGTGCCCACTTAAATATCAAGTGGCTTTCATATGTTATGTAAATGCAACGTTAGTTCTATGTTAAAAGATAGTTGTTCCCGACGAAATAACACACAGAAACGAGTATAGATGACCGAATCTTCAAAGAACTTTGCCTCCAATTAGGCTCACTAAGGAAAACTAGTAACTGTAACACGCACTTGGAGCACTATGTGACCAGAAAAAGTTCCCACATTAAACTTGTTGGGCGTACGAGGGAAACGCTTTGTTTTTATTCGCTAAACGGTGATAATTTATTATGCCCCTAGTAAGATGGCCATCACAGCCGTCATCTTGTCAGTGGAACGGCTTCACTCCTGGGCAGTCATTTCTATTCCAGCAATTTTTTTAAGCCTCCTTCACGGAGGAGCCTCCTTGATAGAGGGTGGCCAACTTTCTAGCCACTATAACACGGAGGAAGGAAAAAGGTGCACTATAAGGACAAACTGCACTTATGGTGGCTAGAAAGTTGGCCACTATACTGCCACTGACTCATGACAACGCCTCCGTCAACGATCAGGTGCATCTTTTAGTGCCATTTTTCCTGACTTTAATAAACCAATCTTTGAATGAACTGAACCATCGAATCGAACATTTCCTAAAGTAAACTGTCCGCATTTATTATTTGTAAAAAATAGCCATGCTTGATTTCTGTATTACCAACATAACGTAGAACTAATTTTAGCTAATGAAAAAGTAATTAAAAACTGAAAATATATTGGCAGTAGTTTTGTGATTAGCAATCTTTAGGTCCAGATTTTTCTCCAGAGCCTGTACTAGTTCTGTGATTTCAGAAGTTTTGGTTTCGGAACGAAGTTTCACTTTGGCACAGAGGAATTCCTCCTTCCTCCGTGTTCGGGCGCTTCGTTTGGCCCAGTTTGACTTCATCTCTCCAGCAGCGGATATTTCCCAGCATGCATTTCGTGCATTGCTCGTCAGCCATATTAGTCTTCATGGCTTGTGCATTGGTTGTTTATGGAAAGTTTGTTTGTGTGTACGACTTGAGTGCAGTGGGATTATGTGATTACCCTTGATACTTGGAATAATGGATATATCTCCCGGCCTGCACGACAGGTGAGTCAATGTCGCGTTTCACGCAGTTTTGCGCTTTCTGCAGTCAAAAGCGCTGATGTATTGCTTTGCCCTCGGGTGCGATCGCTGGGGGTCGATGCAGATGCCTGCGATACCGAGCGATGACAGCTGTTTCAAATCGCCGGATTACATCGCGCAATACGCGTGCTCAAGCCATCTGTTCGAGTCCCAAGTGAGCGTTCAAACGGAGCGTGATCATAATCAGTCCGGACACAGCAACCGTCCGGAGACGCACGGACGGCCTTTAGGGTGTGTCTATCCGCGTTCTTTGCGCGCCACGAACAGCGATTCACGCGGTCCTGAATGGATTACAAGCGTTTTTACGGCCTGGGAACAAGTCGGCATACGCCAAGCATCGCACAGAAGCAGTCTGATGAAGTGCCTGAGCACTTGTACGTGAGCTGGTTAGGCCTAACGACAGAGGTTCGCTTTCGAGTCGGTCAGCCCATCGTCGACGAACAGGACATTTGGAAGAGGTGCCACTGCGGACACCCGGCAGCAATATAGGACCACAGGCTTTCCCTCACAGAGCGCCTTTCGCCCACGACCCTGAGGTCTGCGGGAGGCACTTGGGCCGCGTACGGGACTCCCGGGGGGACCCCGTCGCTTCGCCCGAGGGGTGGGCGCCGCTGCGACCCTTGTCATGCCAGCTTTGAATGGAGATCCGAGCGGGTTCTCGGCTGTGCCGAACGCGGAATTCGGCCCACGCGCGAGGCTCCGGGCGCGGAGCGAAACGGAAGGACTGCGCCCCGATTCCTGTTGCGAGCTTTCCGTTCACCAGGCAGGGGCGTGTCTGCACGGACTGGTTAATCTGTCCTTGTCGAACGGTGTGTCGTCGCTGGGTCAACCGAACCGGCGGCAGCGGAAAGTGCCTGCGACGGCACGACTAATGTTTTGCGGTGTGCACCACACTGCTCATCAAAACGTTGACTGCGTGCGCGTGGCCACCGTACAGTACACACATTTGTTCGAAGGAACTGCTGTTAAGTGTGAATGTGCATACACCTGGTTTTCAATTTGTTCTTTGGTCGACGGTGCTCAAGATTGCTCATGTTTCCTGGTGCGGCACAAGGCGGGCTTCGCCTTTGCACAACAAAATCACTGGTTTAGTAACAAGACGTCATTTCACCATCTCATTCATAGCTATGAATAAAATCGTGTTGGTGTGGCGTAGTTGAATTTCAAAATGAAGCTCCCACGTATTTTCGCTGGAAGATTACCGTGTAGTTTACTTTTCATGCGATTGTCACTTGCAGGAGCCTATCATCAGGTAATTAATGTTTTGTGTTTGTTTTGTTTTTGCCTTGTATTCTCAGTAAGGGTGGGAGGGCTGTAGGCAAATGTTAACCAGCGCCATAAATCCCTAACTTTGACACAAGCACGGCTGCCAGAAAACTTGCAGATCATACAGACAACCTGCCAGATAAGAACTCGTTTGGCACGCCCAGGTAGTCCAGGGCCAAAAGTACTTGTCCTTTATTTTATATAGTTTTTGCTGCCTTTTCTTTACCACCGTCTTGTTTCTTTATAATAAACAGTGTGCCATGACCATTAGCCACAGTTTAAAGGAAACGAATTGCTGTACGATATACGTGGTGCAAATCAGACTTGCCTAAATGCTGTCCTTATGGAACTACTGCTTGTGGACCCATTCACTTTACTATGACATAGAATTAATAAGCAAAGGTGGGGCCCACATATTATGTATAGTTCTGAGAGAGTTGTCATTCACATCTGGATCATAGCACAAAGTGTAGGCGTTGCAGTGGGCTTGTTCACTACAAATAGATGTAGAACAATCTGTGTGTAGGGGGAATATCAAACCAAACATCTCTGCTTTTGTGATCTGCCAAAGTACATTATAGCAGGCAAACTTGATCATGCTTATTCGATATGTATACATTACCTTGATCTTGTGGCACAGTGTATATGGTCATCTGCCTGTGCAAGTTGTGTTCTCGACATCAGGAAAGAGTAATGTTGATAGTCTTCCCATAAGTTTTCTTGAGAGGAAGGGTGGTTATGCATACAATGTGCCATAATTCTCAAGAGATAGCCCATCTAAAAATTGGGCCAAACTGGATAATAAGCGAAGTGGTCTGAGTTGGGTGTTGTACAGTGAAAAAAAAGGAGTGGTTACTATCATTCTCCAACAGGCTGTTGATATAAAGTCCCTTTTAGTGTGCATGATTTACCTCATTTTGTGATGGTATTACAGCTGTGCCAGATTCCAGTAGTACTGTATAGCGAGAAGTGGGCTAATTTTTTCAGGCTTAGGAGAAAATTGCAAATAATTCATTACAAGGGCTGGGTTTATTTTTTGTTACTTCTTGTATCCTTGTGTAGCTCAGGAAAATTTCATAAATCCAGGACGGTGGTCAGATACACATTGTTAATGATTGAAATTAACAGGTCACTAGCAATAAGCACCTGCCACAAGCCAGTACTTCACTTTTGCTGCGTGCATATAGGTGTGCGATGTCTTAAATAAATTGTACAGCATGGGTAGAGCAAGGGTAATTGGGATGAAATATTTTTTATTTCATGATTACGTCGCTCCACAGATTTGTACACTTCACCAGCAGTGATCATAACTTTTTTCATCGCTTGAAAATTTATGTCTCCTTTGATAAATATAATATAATCAGAATAAGAGACCACCTCAGGATTCCATGGAGATAGGATACGCATGTGCAAATTTCTTTTTAAGTGCAAAGCACTTCTTTACAAACTGAGTACTTTAACTGTTTTCATCTCTAGATCTGTCTGTCCATATGTCTACATCTAGATACTCTCGTGGTTCTCTCTTTAACTTGACATATATCAAAATTGACATTTGAGGAATTAGTCTATGTCGAATGAAGTTAACAGGTTTGATACGACTAACAGGACATGATTGTCGGATACGTCATGAAACCAGGTCACGTGTGGGGCATGCTGACCTACCATGGCCATTGAAACATGGGTATTTGCCATATGTAATTCACAGTCTGCGTTAACTCGTGAACTGGGAGAAGAGACTTTAGAAATTTTTACTCGGTAAAGAGGCAGTGTCGCAGAAAATCTACTGCCGGCGCTGGCAGCATTGTCATTGAGTCGAATGGACACAAAGATTAAACTCATGGCATCAGCTCAAATGCGAGCCCATGTATTCGCAAGGCAGTCAAGTGTATTGTACCACGGAGCCTTGTCAGCTGGTGCTTGAAACTGCTTTGGAAAGAGACCCTGTGGAAGCTTGACATTGGGGCAGTTGCAGTTTTGGCCATCCACTTTCACGACAATAACATTACTTAAGTACTTCTTTGACTTAGCAAGCTATTCCTCTGGGCATTGTTCATGCCCAGAGAAGTACGTGACAACTCCCGCTTATGATGTGCACATCATCGTACTGTAGTGTGCATTTTGTTTTGATAAGACTGACGACTATACTGTCATTGTTTTGCTGTACTATACTGATATACCAGAAAAACAAAACAATTAACAAAAAAAAACATGAGACTGGACACGTAATCAGTGTTTATAAGACTTCGTTATCATCAGTGTTTATAGGGCTGTTGCCCATGTTTTTGCACTATTGCTAAGTTGTAGTTACTGTCACAATATTTTTTTTTTTGTATTTCACCTTCACATACTGTCTCACTTTTCTAGTCTGTATTTTGCTTACATGTTCATAAGTTGAACTGCATTTATATTATATTCAATATTTGCCTAAGTATGTGTAGATATATATGTATATATATATTTATAGCGTATTATCTGTACTGCCCACCTTACACAATGCCCCACGAGGGCTCTGTAAGGTACTGTAAATAAAATAAAAAATAAATAAATGTATTCTTGTGTGTCATTATGGCACAGAACAACAATGCCACACCGACTACATTCCATCTAGGCCTTGTTGACTTTTGTGATGAAATCTGAGAGGCAGTGTTACATCAAACCGTAAGCTACCCTATGTGTGCCAGTGTAATCAATGTGCCCGGTGCACCCACAATACTCAGAAAGCTACATCAAGTGCAAGAAGGCATTAAACTGTCTCGCAACACGAGGTGTTGAAGAAAAATAAAGCAGAATAGATTTCTAGTGGCTTACTGCTTTGCATGAGGACACTAGATTAGACCTTTGGGAATTGCCTAATGCTTTGTCATCAAGTAGCAGCATGCTGAATGTTAGTTTTCTGGGGCATGAATTCTTGATGTGAGTGAATTTGTTGCCCACTAAATTTCACAGCTGTTCTAGTGTTAATATTACATTTGTGTTATAATGTGACACTTATTTGCTTAATATATTGATACTCTGGCTAGATAAATTATTCAACGCCCCTTGTAACACATATGAATGTAGCTAGCATGTTTCAGGTTATTTTGCTGAATGGGTTCGTTTTTGTCTCCGTTTCATTGATATTGCCAACTTCTGTTTTCATCTGTTGCTACTCATAGGTTCACACCCTGGCAGCCATGCAGTTGAAATTTACTTTCTGCAGTAATCGCAGCTGTTTTGAAAATCTTATCAGTCATCAAAAGAGGAACTGGAACATCACTAGTGAAAACTTTTTTCGTTATGCGTATACTACATAATTTCTTTGTCTCCTGGGAACTTCCCTGTCAGTTATTTTAATAAGACAGTAAAATGTAACATAAACTTCACAATAAAAAGATGCTATGCAATACTAACATTATAAATCCTCCTTTCTCACTATTTGTAAAATGCCCTACCACTCCACTGAAGGCGGAACGTGTAGCCTAGCCTCTTGCATTATCAGCGGCATAGATATTGACATTGGTGGACAAAGTACATCTTATCTCACCTTGCTATTGCTACTGAGATGCATATTTTTTTCCAGACAGTTCCTGCTTGAAATCCGAACTTGGCCAGTGGCTGTGCAATTGCAGTGTCTCACATGCAATTATACCTGTTAAGACCTTGGTTCTTGTTGTGGTCTATACAGGGGTGATAGATGCCAAGTTTCTAGAGAAAATTTG